CTGGGGGCCGACTTCCTCCGGCTGTCTTTAGGCGGCCTCGCAACACTTGCGGGCGGTGCCGTTGACGTCCCTGGCTTATCGTCTGCACCCGATCTTGAGGGTGGAAGGGATCGCGTCGGTGATGGTTTTCTCTTAGCTTTCTTAGTTTGCGCCGCGTGACCCTTGGATTGTTTGACTTCAGGCTGTAAGGCTTTGTCAAACAAGAGGACCTTTAGACGCATGTCCCTGTCCCGCCTGGCTCTGGCTGTCAGTTTGGAACAGTGGGGACATTTCTGAGGTATGTGGCCTTCCCCGAGGCACCTGATGCATAGGGAGTGGCCATCAGAGGCAGGCATTGCCTCGTGGCATTCACCACACTTCTTAAAGCCCAGCATTTAGAAAGAACAACTAACTATTGAAGAAAAAATTTTTTTTTACGACTAACGACTAGATAACTAACTGTAAAAACTGCAACTTTAAACTACATACAATAACCATATACAATGACTATATTTCGTCTCTCTATATCTCTAGTGAAACAGTTCGTAAGACAGAGACGTTGCCGTCCAGGGCCGAGGACGGTCAGGAGGAACTGGCGGGAGCCAGACCAGAGGCGATCAAACGGCGCGAAAAACCATGAGCCGTACTTCGCGCATGCGTGGTCTGGCAGACTACGGCTAGAAAAGATCTCCGATCTGCAGTGCCGGGACAAGCCCACAGTGGAGCACCCACGGGACACTTCTAGAAGAAGAAACACTGGTATAGAGGAAACACTGTACTATCACACACAATAGTAAAATTAAATCAAAAGTTTACAGTAACAACAAACTAATTATACTTAGGAGGAACATTATGGTGTTTCAACTCTCTGCCAGGGAGTGGTTAGAAGGAACTGAATGGTAAGCAATGTCACTTTCCCTTTATGCCCTTTGGAGAGAAGTGTGAGAGTATGAAGGTGTATGTTCCATCCCGAGTGGATGCTGCTGATAAAACTTCTCAATTCTCATTGTCAGTGGGATCCACATGCATACAGATTCAAAGAACAATATATCTTTGAAGTAAATTACATCTGTAAACAGGAAGATCAGAAACGTGTGCTACTATCTTTAAAACATATTCAACCACTGTTAATCAATTTTGAGATTCCAGCTGCTCTCATCCCTTTACTGATACCCCACCTATGACTGACATGTGCATAGCACAGGAATAAAAGTTCAACTGTATTGAACAATTTTTTTTAATTTGTTCAATTAAACGTAAACGTTTAGGTTACATGGAGAATACTTCTTTTAACACAGAAGAATAGCAATATTAATTAAGGATTTGTATAATTAATAAGCATTTATATTCCTAACAGGCTTAATATGGCACCGACTGACTTCAAAAGACTTTGGATCAGTTCATTCTGTAAACTTGCTGAAGGATTTATGCAAATTTTACCAGATTATATTCAAAGTAAATATGAGCGGACTCAATTTTAGTGTTTCCAAAAAAACCTTTTGTTGTAGATCTATTTTTTAAAATAAATTCTGAGATATTTATAACAATCCATATACCATACTTGTAACATTAAAATCAGACACTGTCTACCTGTAGTTTTATGGGTAAAATAATAAGTAAACATACTTACATGTTTTGTTATAAACAAATACAAGTATATAGTATAGTTGGCGATTACTTACAGGGAATATTTCGGTAGCCATTTTCTAGTGCATGAAAGTAATTCAAGAATTCTTGTGTTGGAATTTTGAAAAGTTCAAACAAGCCAGTGTCTTGAAACAAGGCGTATGTCACCTAAATACATTAAAATTAGTTTCAGTTGGAAAGTGTAAAAGTGTAATCATTTTAGCTTCATTCAACTTTAAGAATATTCTGCTATATTTTTATTTAGTTATACTGTTAATTATTAAATGTAGTAATTTGCTACTAATACAGTTTGCTGTTCTCTCCATCAAAGCAGACACCTTTCTTATCAATCTCTTGAAACCAAAAGAGAAAAAAAAGGCATATCTCTTTACTGAAATGACCCTAATGTAGTTTTTTACTTTCTTTTCCTATCCATGATATGCTAGAAAAAATATATTACTTTGTATTACTGAGGAGCCGTGTTGCCAAACACAGTTCCCATCCTAAAGCTTTAGGCAATCTTTCAAATATAGACTTAATTAAGAGATCTGTTTTAGGCTTCCTAGGAGAAAATAGAAAAAAAGGTTTCTTCTTTCAGCCTTCCTTCCCCCTACAAACTGTTCACTGGATCTCTCATTTAGGAATGTAATACATACGCATTTAGAGAAGCACATTCAACAGGTTCCAGAATCCTCATGCTAACTCCAGGAACTATATAAGAAATTCTCCCTGAGATCTAGTTTCTCCAAGGGCACTGCTATTTCTATACCTAGGCTGATAACAACTTCCTTCATTAGGAAAACCTGGATGAAAGGAAATCAGAACTTTTAGGACATTTTTGAGGCATCAAAAGTCTGGCTTTTTCTGGATTGTCAATTTCAGTCTAATAGGAAAACATTTAAGAAAATTATGACTCTTTCAGAAGTTTAGAACAGAGTGGCAGTGCCATTATGATGGCTCTATTACATATTTTATAGTCCATTAATATTGATATACTAGATACTGTATGGATGCATAGTACTGCACAGTCCCTACCTTAAAGAGCTTCTCTTTGAAACAAATGCAAAGAAGATACAATAAACGGGTGTTACAAAGAACAGGAGAAGAGAATGGGGAAGTTCAACTATGACATGATCACATGGTTCCACAATTTAACCAATGCATAACTTGATAGTACTAAATCATCTGAAAGATTTATTTTATAAATACATCAATAAAATTAATAATTTTTACATTTTACTCCTAAACTTAACTAATGTTTGTCAGCCATCCCTGATTGTCCTTCAGCAGGGCCATTAATAGCTGACAGACTTCCTGTAGACTTCACAGTGGAAGTGGAGTCTTGAAAAAGGAGTAGCAGCCTTATGGGTTAGATGAGAGAGCGCATTCTTTCTAAGAGGCAGTGTGGAAGAAAAGGAGGTTACTCACCTATGCAGTAACTGATGTTGAGATGAATGTCCTCATGGGTGCTCCACATCAGGTGTCAATGTGCCTCCGCACTGTTGATCAGGGTCTTTAGAGCAGTGTTCTTAGGCCATGCATGCGCCCTTGAAGAGGCCCAGAAACTCTGAGGTAGAAGGGAGGGCAGTGGAGCACCCAGGGGGCACTCATCTTAAAGAATGTCAGTTATTGCACAGGTGAGTTCCAGTTCCTCCAGGTAATTACAAAGATGCATGATTCAAGGAGGCAGGGACTTTGGATCTGACAGGAAGGAAGAAGAAAGGACCTATCTTGGGGAAATGAACGGTTACTTACCTGTAACTGTTGTTCTTCGAGATGTGTTGCTCATGTCCATTTGAATTAGGTGTGTGCACCGCGTGCACTGTGTCTTCCGGAGCGTTTTCCCTAGTGGTACCCGTAGCGCCGGCAGGGTGCCCTCTGGAGTAGCACCGCCATGGCGGGGCATAAGTACCCCTGCCAGCACTCCCCCACCTCAGTTCCTTCTTGCCGGATGCTCCAACGAAGGGGAGGTGGGGGGGAATCGAATGGACATGAGCAACACATCTTGAAGAACAACAGTTACAGGTAAGTAACCATTCTTTTCTTCTTCGAGTGGTTGCTCATGTCCATTCGAATTAGGTGACTTCCAAGCCAACCCCACTTCAAGGAGGAGGGGTCGGAGCACTCAGAAAGAAAAGTCCATGAAAGTTGAACAACCCAAATAAATTTATTCAACTAACCGAACACAGAAAAACTGTAGAAAAGTGCAATGTGGTACAGATAAAACAAACATTTACAATACAGAGCTGAGGACCGCAGATCCCAACCTTGTGTCCTCCCTAGCCTGCTGTGCCAGTGCGTAGTGCGCCGCAAAGGTATGAAGCGACGACCACACGACTGCCCTGCATATTTCAGTGATTGGAACCTGCGCCCCAAAAGCTACAGAGGATGCCTGCGCCCTGGTGGAATGTACTGTAATCCGGGGCGGGACCTTCCAGGCCAAGGCATAACACTCCCTGATACACCCTGCGACCCAACTGGACAACCTCTGGGTCCATATGGGGAGCCCTTTCATTCTGTCAGCGACAGCAATAAACAATTGTGTGGATTTGCGAAAGGGTTTAGTCCTATCAATATAAAAAGCTAGCGCACGTCTAGCAACCAGGGAACGGAGCACTTGCTCCTTAGAGGAGGCATGGGGCTTTGGAAAGAAAACCGGGAGGTAAATATCTTAGGACAAATGGAACGGTGACACCACCTTGGGGAGAAAGGCTGAGAACACTAGGTAGGGCGGGTTTACAGTTAACGCCCTCAGCTCGGAGCCCCTGCGAGCCGACGTAATGGCCACAATGAACGCAACCTTCATAGAGAGGTGCTTCAAAGAACACGTGGCCAGCGGCTCAAAAGGGAGTGACAAGTCTAGACAACATGAGATTAACGTCCCAAGCGGGAAGAAGGGGTCTAACCGAGGGGTACAACTTGTCCAAACCCTTAAGGAACCTTTTGACCATGGGGTCAGAAAACAGAGAGACTCCTGCCAAACCAACGTGTAAGGTGGAGAGAGATGCCACATGGACTTTGATAAAGGAGGTAGAGAGGCTACCGGACCTAAGTTCAAAAAGATAGTCCAGAATGGATGGAACAGGTGCACAGGATGGATGCACTCCCCTTCTGGATGCCCAAGACGAGAACCGCTGCCACTTGGCTGCGTATGACCGCCTGGTAGATGGTTTCCTACTACTTAGGAGCACCATCTGTACTTCCTGGGACCATCTCCCGGAGATTTATGTGCAGAGCCCGCTCTGCAGGAGACCACAAACCCTGGGTTCTGTGACACCCCAGGTGTGCTCCTCAACCCAGGTCCGAAGCATCTGTGACCAGTGTAAGCGAGGGAGGAGGTACAGTAAACGGAACCCCGCTGCACATCACCGCCTCCTGAGTCCACCATTGTAAGGAGGCTATCACTCCCGGAGGCTCTGTGAGAACCGTGTCCCAGAGACCCCTGGACTGGTTGTATGCCCTTGCCAACCAGGCCTGCAGAGGCCTGAGCCTCATTTGAGCATGGCGTACCACATACATACATGCCGCCATGTGTCCCAGCAGCCTCGAGCAGATCCTGGCAGTCGTGATGGGGAACCGGGTTAAGTCGGAGACCAGCTCCACTATGGACAGAAACCTGGTTCTGGGGAGGAGTGCTCTTGCCACCCTGGCATCCAGGACAGTACCTACGAATTCGAGGTGCTGAGAGGGAGTCAACGATGACTTTTCCTTGTTTAGCATGATCCCCAGCCTTTTGAAGAGGGCTTTTGTGAGGGAAACATGGGCCTCCACTTGGTCATAGGAACGACCACAAATCAGCCAGTCGTCTAGGTACGGAAAGACGTGTACCCCTTTTTTGCGGAGGAACGCCACTACGACCGCCATGCATTTTGTAAAGACCCTGGGTGCTGCTGAAAGGCCAAATGGGAGCACTGTAAATTGGAAGTGGCATTGGGAAACAATAAAACAGAAACCTCCTGTGGCTGGGTCTTATTGCCACATGGAAGTAAGCGTCCTTGAGATCGAGAGTTGCATACCAGTCTCCTAACCATAAAACCAGGATAACAGAGGCCAGGGTTACCATTCTGAACTTGGATTTCACCACCGTCTTCTTGAGATCCCTGAGATCTAAGATGGGATGAACCCCATCCTGGGGTTTTGGAACAATGAAATACTGGGAATAAAACCCCTTGCCCTTCAGATGAGAAGGGACCCTCTCAACGGCTCCCTTTTCGAGGAGCGCTAACACCTCCTGATGGAGGATGCCTTCGTGAGAGGTGTCCCTGAAAAGGGATGGGGTGGGCGGGTTGGAAGGAGGCGAGCCCAGGAAGGGGATGGTATAGCCATTTCTGACTTTTTAGAACCCAGGCATCGGTGGTGATTTCTGCCCAGGCGTTGGCAAACCGGGATAACCTGGCCCAGAACGGGGGACCAGGGTGAGAGGCTGGTGCGCCACTCTCTAGCAGCCCGTCAAAACTGGTGCACCAGGTCCCCGAGTGGCACACCAGGTCCCCTCTCGGGTGGCATCGACAACCCCTTGCGGACAACGGGCCCGCAGCCGCCCCACACCCCCACTGGGGGCATGAGGACGGCGTCTCCAGTAATCCCCATGGGGGACCTGGGATTGCGTTCTCCCCTGCTGTCTATAGGGAAGCTGACGACGTTGAGGGCCAGCGTGTGGATCCCCAAGGTTCGGAGAGTAGATTTTGTGTCTTTAAGCGTATGGAGCCTGGAGTCAGCGTGCTCCGAAAACAACGCTTTGCCGTCAAATGGCAGGTACTGAATCGTGGTTTGGACGTCCGGAGATATTCCAGACACCTGCAGCCAGGCACTACGGCACATAACTAAACCCGACACCATGATACAGGCTGCAGAGTCAACAGCATCCAGGGAAGCCTGAAGGGCCGTGCGGGCGATGGTTCTGCCCTCCGAGGTCATAGCCACAAACTCCTGACGGGCCTTGGCAGGGAGTTTATCCTGAAACTTATCCACCGTCTGCCATGTATTATAAGCATATCGACTCAGCATCGCTTGCTGGTTAGCAATGTGGAGCTGCACCCTACCAGACGCCTAAGCAGATCCTTATGCGCCCAAGCATCCATAGTAGGCAACGCCGGTGCAGGATCTGCCAAGGCTTCATGAGGAGACGAAGATGACGACTCCTGGATCGGTACCAGATCCAGTGTAGGGCCTGGTTGAGGAGCCGGCTGGATAGGCGGCACCATTTGCGGAAGCGGCTCCGGCACCGAGGCTTGCGGCTCTGTAGTGGCACCTGTAGTAACAGACCTCTGGGGTGAAGGAGGGGGTCGTGACAGCGACGCCGACAGTTGCGCTCGGTACACCAGCCAGGAGGGGACAGGCCCCTGCCACTGGTGGTATGCCCACGGCGTTCAGAAGGGCCATTGTGGTTGAGGCGGCCACATCTGCTGCACACGCGAACTATGACGAGAGAAAGTTCCCGAGGACTCCGACCTGAATGAGGCCGCATCAGAATCCGACGAGTAGTGAGATTCAGGCCAGAGAGGCACAGATGATGAATGCCCTGCCACCAACGGGTAGGGGGGAGGGGCAAACCTGGCCATAGACTTGGGTTTGCCCACGTGCGTGCGATGAGGGCGTGCCAGTGCCAGGAAGACAGGTCCTGGTGCCGGTTGTGGTACCGGGAGGACAGGTCCTGGTGCCGGGAGTAGAGCCGGTTCTGGGAGGACAGGTCCTGGTGCCGGGAAGAAAGGTCCCAGTGCTGGTGTCGGTTGCAGTGCCAACACGGTGCATGGCTGTGCTGTCGAAGTCGGTACCGGTTGCGGGTGCGGAACCCCCAAAGCCGGCTGTCCTTCTGGTAGCAGCCCCATCACTCTTCCCGCAGACTGGAACGAAGGCCCTAGAGTTGCCGAGACGAACCTCAAAGAAATCGATGTTACCGGAGATGGCAGTACTGGCATGGCCCACGGAGCTGATGCCGGTGCCAGTAATGGTGCCGAAACCTGTATCGGTGCCAAAGAACCCAGAGACGGAACTTGCATCGGTGCCGAAGAGCTTGATGTCGAAGGGCCCAGTGCCGAAGACTGGGGCAGCACCCCAGGAAAGCTGCTCAGCACTGGTACTGATGATGGTGCCGCAAGGCTTGGGTGATACGGCACTGGTGCAGCCAAGACTGGGTCTGGAAGAGGTCCCAGCACCGAGGGGGGTTGAGCCCAGTTGAGCACTGGGTGAAGCCTGGCGGCCTGCATCGAGACCAGCACCGAGGTAGAGGCAAATGGTACTGGTCCCACAGGGGATGGTACCACTGCATAAGTAGGTAGTAGCTTGTATTGGTAATGGTCTGTACATAGGACAAATCAGAGAAAATATCTATGAGCTAGATGAATAGAGATTTGAAAATAAGGATCCTGCAAGTTGAGAGATGAGAACCAATCACCCATTAGTGAGTGTCACCATTTTAAATATTTGTTTCCACATGTACTTATTTAACGCTTTCAGGTCTAAGATTAGCTGCCATCCCCCCAATTTCTTCTCCATGAGAAATAAAAATCCTTCCTTATGAACTGTGAGGGAAGTGTTTCTACTGCTCCTAGGTGAAGGTGGTGTTGTACCTCCTGTTGGGGAAGAGTCTCATGAGGGATGGGGTAAGCGGGGTGGGAAGGGAGTATGGTCTTAAAGGGAATAGTGTAGCCATGTTCAATTATTTGAAGTACCCATCTATTTGATGTTATGGCTAGCCAGTTATGGTAAAATGTGAGGAGACAGTGCTGAAAGAGCGTGTGAGAAGATGGTGATGTTGGAGAAGGTGAGTGGTTTTCCAGGCCCTCAATACATGTCTCAAATCTGCTTATTGAGCTGCGGAGATTGTTGCGTGGTATTGGATGGTGGATGACACCACTGTGATCTATTTGTGTTTCACTGTTATTACTGCTGATCCTGCCTGCGGTAGTATTGGGTATCTTGTTCTGGGGTAGGGCTGATACCTAAACTGTCACCTCCCTAGGTGCTGGATTGTGGATGCCGAGGAATCGGAGGGTCACCCTGGAATCTTTCATTCTATGCACCACCCAATTGGTGTTGGCTGTGACCAATTTCTTGTTGTCAAATGCAAGATCCTCAACGGTGGATTAGATCTCCTTACGGAAGGAAGCAGAGTTGAACCAAGAAGCTCATCCCATGACGACTGTGGTAGCTGTGGATCTCACAGTTGTGTCTGCTGCATCAAGAGCTGCCTGCAACGATGTTCTAGAGATTGGATGAAGATTGGAAAGGGGGAGAATTGTGTGGTGAGTAAACTACCTCCACATCACCGTCATTGTCCTCGCCTGAAAATTGTTTTGGCCAAAGCATTTGGTGCAGTGCCAGGATGCCCAGAGAATGGTCGATACCACAGAAAGGTGAATTGAACATGAAGGAAATGAGTAAGTCGCTGTGCTGCATGTATTGTAGTGCTGGTGTTGACAGTGCCATGGCTTGTGGCACCAAGGCCACTTGTGGTACCAGATATAGTCTTGATACTGAGCAAGCTGGCAATGTTGGTAGTGCTGTCACAGTACCAGCTGCGGTCACAGGAAAAGTAGTTGGCAGTGGAGGTGCCTGTGGTGCCATTGTAGCATCATTGGTTCCTGGTGGTGCCACTGGATGTGAGGAAGACAACTTACAACCTGTGGCCTGAGCACAGGGTTTCTGTACACCCAGTATTGTAGCTGTGCTAGTGGTGCCAGACACACCCGGTGCTTCATAAGTGCTGAGCCGCGGAGCTGCGGTTGTTCTTGGCACTGAGGTTGGAGAGTGCTTTTTGGGTGCCACAGGATTCTGTGGGAGTGAGGAAGCTCACTTTTCCCCAGGTTTTTTTGTTTCGGTGTGCCTCAGAGGTCTCAGAATCTTGTCCTGGATCAGAGGCAGGGCATAATGATTTTTCACACAGTATTAGTTTGAGCCTGTCTTGATGAGCTCTTGATTTTAGTTTTGTGCAAAGGAGGGCACTTTTGAGATATGTGTGTTTTCCCCAAGGCAGCGGACATATTGTGAGTGTCTGTCTGACACTGGAGGACTGGAAGGGACCTTGAGAGGTCATCGAGTCCAGCCCCCCGCCCTCAAGGCAGGATCAAGCTCCGTCTACACCATCCCTGACAGATGTCTATCTAACCTGTTCTTAAATATCTCCAGAGAGGGAGATTCCACCACCTCCCTTGGCAATTTATTCCAATATTTGACCACCCTGACAGTTAGGAATTTTTTCCTAATGTCCAATCTAAACCTCCCTTGCTGCACTTTAAGCCCATTACTCCTTGTCCTGTCCTCAGAAACCAAGAGGAACAAATTTTCTCCTTCTTCCTTGTGACACCCTTTTAGATATTTGAAAACCTCTATCATGTTCCCCCTTAATCTTCTTTTTTCCAAATTAAACAAGCCCAGTTCATGAAGCCTGGCTTCATAGGTCATGTTCTCTAGACCTTTAATCATTCTTGTCGCTCTTCTCTGTACCCTTTCCAATTTCTCCACATCTTTCTTGAAATGTGGCGCCCAGAACTGGACACAGTACTCCAGCTGAGGCCTAACTAGTGCAGAGTAGAGCGGCAGAATGACTTCACGAGTTTTGCTTACAACACATTGTAAGCAATGTTGCATGAGGAGAAACATTTAAACCCTAGTGAACCAGGCATAATGCTAAACTACTAACTATATAAATGGGGGAGGGGGAAATGATGGAAAAGTTGGGTTTTTTTTCCAAACAGGGAAAAAGGAATGCTTATAACTAACTGACTAAACTAACTAAGAAAAAGATGAAACAGGTTTACTTATCTGGCTATACAGAATGAGGACAGGAATACTGCAGAGCTCTGTTTCTCACCAGGGATGGTAGAGAAGGAACTAAGGGAAGGGAGGCTCATGCATGCGCGATGCTAGCACACTTGGGCTACGTCTACACTGAACCTTTCTTGCGCAAAAGCATATGCAAATGAAGCACAGATTAGCATATTGCCGTGCTTCATTTGCATCATTAATTAGGGGACGTTTTTGTGCAAGAGGCTTTTGCGCAAAAAGGCGCTCCGTAGACAGCTCCTTTTTTTGAAAACCCCCCTCTTGCGCAAGAGCTGCTCTTCCTGAAAAAAATGAGGTCTACACAGCTCCTTTTTGTGCAAAAACCTCTTGTGCAAAAACGCCCCCTAATTAATTACACAAATGAAGTGCAGCAATATGCTAATCTGCCCCTCATTTTCATAGGCTTTTGCGCAAGAGAGGTGCAGTGTAGACGTAGCCTTGGAGTTCAGGGCTTGGGCTCTGTGCATGGGTGGCCCCAAGGACATTGCTCTGAAAATTCTGATCCACTGTTACCTGATGTGGAGCACTCACAGGGACACCTCTTGAAGAAGAAAGAATATTGTTATTTAAGGGAGGAAAAGAGAAAAAGCTGCTGGAAAGATTCTCTCTCTCTCTCTCTCTCCAGCTATGACTCTCAATGACAACTACATTAAATTAAAAGCACCCCATAAAGACAGGAGACGAAGCCTTTTGTGGCAACTGGAGTGGACACTACAGAACTCACTCCCATATAAAATAAAAGATTATCAATACCCCCAATATTCAGAATAAAATGTACAAAATCCACCGTGGGAATAAGTTTCCAACAACATAAGCCATTTTTACTGTCTACAGAAATGGAAAGGTTAGATGAGTAGAAAACAAAATTGCTACTTTTCAAGCTATTCTTAATTTATTCATGGACTGTCAAAACTGTTTCAGTTGTGGCTCATGAATCAAAAATAGCAACACACCTGGCTAAGGATCCTTCCAGATTTGTCTCCCATTTTTTGCACGAGATCAAAAATTTGGAAATTCCAATTGTTCATCTTCTCCATTAACAATTCATGATCTTCTGTTAACATCATTTCTAATAAAGGCTCTTGTTCCAACTGCGTAAGAGAGAATGAACCATTTCCACAGTGAGAATGAAAACTAATATGTCACATATTTAATTAGATGTTAAAATAAATTGTTTGCGTTTCATTGTGCTGCTACAGTTACTCTGCATATTTATTTTATCCCAGCAACTTTTTTTGCCTTTTTAAATGGTGTCATACCATCATTGGTTTTTACGCTTAGTATACACATAAATGGACCAAAACAATGTAAAAGCTGTACCTGTGAGAGAACCTCAGTTCATAATACAATAGCTCAAGACTTCACTTTGTATACATTTTAGCATATTACAAACAATCAATTGCTCAAGAGCTTTCATGCTCTGCTGGGGTTTGATATAAAGACTACCTAAAAATTAATTCTGGTCTTAAGACTTCGAAGTTTTTGTATTTTTTCTAAATCAACATTGAAATAAAAATAAAATCCAGAGAAATATTTTGTAGAAAACTAACACAACTCATTTCTTAACTTTTGTTTAAATATAGTTTGAACGAGCTGCAGCTAATTAATAAAAAAAATATAAAAAACACTTTTTAAAGAGACAATCTTTCTAAAAGTGCACCAAAAGACTAAAAATAATAAAAAGTGCACCAAAAAGTCAAAAATAAAGTTTTAAACTAGCAATATAGGAGAAAGATTGGATGGCTAACAGTTAGCAACTATCCTGAATCATACTTAGCCAGAGGAGGGCAGATCGTGGAGTGCCCACAGGGGCACCCATCTCAAAGAACACCAGTTACTGCACAAGATGAGTAACCTCTCCTTTCTTCTTTGAGGAGTATCCCTGTGGGCACTCCACTGTAGGTGACTACAGAGCAGTGCCCTCAGTCTTTGGAAGGAGGGGCTTCAGATGTGGATGGCGGACTGCAGCTAGCATCACCTGCCCGAACACAGACTGCAAAGCTAAGTGTCTATAGCACAGTGCTTCATGAATGTATGGGCAGAAGCCCATGTTGCTGCCCTACAAATGTCTGCAATGGGCATATTATGGAGGAAGGCTGTAGAGGCTGCAATGGCTCTGGTGGAGTATGCCCTGATTTGAGTCAGCAAAGGCACCTTGATAACGTGCTAGGGTTCTTTAATGCAATTTATTATCCATTTGAAAGTCTCTGTTTCGATATAGCTTGACCCTTGGAACAGTCTGCTATAGAAATAAAAAGTCTTGGAGTCTGTCTAAAAAGTCTGGTTCTATCTAGGTAAAAGGTGAGTGCCCGCCAGACATCGAGGGAACGGAGTTGCGCTGCACTGACATCCGGATGTGGCTTTTGATGGAAAATGGGTAAGTATATAGGTTTGTTAAGGTGAAATACAGATACTATTTTTGAGAGAAATTTGCAGTGTGGTTTTAAAACTACTTTATCCTTGTAGAAGATGATGAATAGCAGATGTGCCACGAGTGCAACTAACTTGCCCACTGTCTTTGCCGTCATGATTGCTAGGAGGAAGGCCCATACATATAGACAGGTGAATGAGGTAACATGTTGCCATGGGCTCAAAGGGAATGGTGTATCAAGGAGTTAAGAACAAGAGGTCCCAAGGCAGCCCTGATGGCTTTATAGAAGGAAATGTGTTGTTCAGTCCTTTTTGGTTATAGGGTGTGAGAATATGGTGTGCCCGTCCACTCTTTTGTGCTCACTTGATATTGCCACTAAATGTACCTTTATGGATGAATTAGAAAGGTTCTGCTTCTTTAAAGAGAGGGGGTAGTCTAATATTACCATTAGATGTGCTGATTTTGGGTGTAGGGTTCTTTGATTTGCCCACTCAAAGAAACACCTCCCTTTTCAGGAATATGTTTTTCTGTTGTTTGCTAGAGCGGAGAGAATTTGAAACCTCTGCATGGGGAGATTTGCCTGTTCATTTATGCGGTCTAGTGTGGCTCCTCTTAACTCTGACTCTTGGGATGAATAGTAATAGAGAGGTAGTTGTGTTAGTCTCATCTTGGTAAAACAAAAGGAAAAAATATGTAGCACTTTAAACACTAACAAGAAAGAGCCAGCGGGGGAGAGGAGAGACAAGGGGGTGCTTCAAAATGTCAGCGACATGTGGAGCCCAGGACCAGATGCAGCCCGGGGGTTGTTGGGGAGCCCTGCTAGTCCCAGGCTGCACCCAGCGTTTCAAAGCGGCAGTCATGTGGAGCCCGGGATCAGATGGGGACTCCCTAGCTCATCCCAAGCTCCATGCAGCGCTGCCTCTTTCAAAAGCCATGGGGAGCATGGGGCCAGGAGGGGACTCCTTGAGTCCCCCGTCGGCCCCATGCTCTCCGCAGCGCTTTTGCCTTTGAAATGTAGCAGCAGCCCTGTGGCTGTTGCTACACTGAAAAGGGGGAGGTGCTCTTATCAACTAATCAAAAAGGCGATGCAAATTGCAATAAATCGAAATTTAACACCTCTAATATTCATGTTGGTTGTGAACGCAATTTTTATAGTTTGAAATTTTACTTTAAATTAATATTTGGAATCCTGGATTCCAAAGGCTCTTATACAATAAACATAAAGACCTCCATACTATATATTAAAACCCATAAAGAAACACATTAATGTGCATTGCAGGCATTACTGCAATTACATACTTACATCAGATTGCTGGCTATCCTGTGTTTGATCCATTTTCTGATTATCACTTTCTGTCAACTTCTTTCTGCAGTCTCTGTTTTCTTTTCTTTCATCTTTTTGTCCCTCTGTATGGTAGTCTGGCTCTTTTGAAATACCCGTGGTTCCATCCTCACCTTAAATATAACAAGTACACAACTATTATCAACAACTATTCTGGAATTAAGATTTTCAGTCAACTGTTACTTGTTATCATACTTAGACTACTAGAAAAAAGAGGTTACTTACCTCGTGTAGTAACTGGTGTTCTTCGAGATGGAAACCCCTGCAGTGCTCCACTGTAAGTGTCTCGGCGCTTATAATCAGAACTTTTTAGCAGCAGTATCCTGGTGCGTGCGTGGTGCGGCTTGTGTTGTGTTGTCAACCATACCTCAGTTCCTTCTCTACTAAAGCAGAGGCGAGGAGGGAGGGTCGTGGAGCACCCACGGGGACACCCATCTCGAACGCTAGTTACTATGCAAGGTGAGTAACCTCTTTTATCTTCAAGGAGTGTCCCTGTGGGCACTGCACCATAGGTGACTATGGAGCAGTGTACTTAGAATTTGCAAGAAGGGGCTTCAGATCTGTATTGTGAGTGGCGGAGAGAACCACCACACCAAACTTTGTGTATTGAGAGGCATGCCTATCTATAGCAAAATGAAACAAATGGTCTGGTAGCACTTTATAGACAAAACATGTAGATGGTATCATGAGCTTTCGTGGACACAGCCCACTTCTTAGGATGACCGGAGTTATGATCTGAAGAAGTGGACTGTGCCCACAAAAGCTCATGATACCATCTACATGTTTTGTCTATAAAGTGCTACCAGACCATTTGTTGTTTTTTTCTGTAACAGACTAACTCGGCTACCCCCTGAAGCTCCAATAGCAAAATGTTTTGTGTTTTGTGAAGGTATATGTTGAGGCCCATGTTACAACCCCACAAATGTCAGTGATAGGGACACCACTGAAAAGCTGTAGAAGTAGCTAATGCTCTAGTGGAGTGAGTTCATACTTGATCTGGGGGTAGTATACTTTGTTGATCAAGTAACACATTCTGATGTAATTAACTATCAACCTACAGAGTTGTTTGCAAATGGCTTGACCTTTGGAGCGATCCTCTATGGATAGAAACAGCTTAGGAAAATGTCTGAATTGTTTTGTTATTTCCAGGTAGAAAGCAAAGGCACAACAGATGTCTAAGGAATGGAGTAGTGGTAGGGGTAGAAAAGCATAGGTTAGTTTGTCTGCCCAATTGAGCAACAGGGCATCCAGGGCCCAGAGTTCTTGCCCAGACCCACTCTAGAGCAGTACTTGTGGCATTTCGCATTGTGAAACGTGGCAAACAAGACTATGACTAGAAAGCTCCACTTCTGGAGTACAGTATGCAGAACTTGTGGGTGGATCTCCCACTCATTTCTGATGAAAGTTTCGGCCGAGATGGTCTGCCATCACTTTTTGCTTTCCTGGGAGACAGACTGCCAAGACGCTCACGTGATGCTCGATGCAGAGATCGTGGGTCTGTTGATTATTGTTTGACTCAATAGAGCTAGGGATTGGAAATGTTGAAGTACTGGTGCTTGGACACAATCTAGCCTTGTGCCAATGAATTTCACCTCCTGAGTAGGAGTCAGGTGGACTTCTGTGTGTTTATCTGTAAGCCCAGTGTGTTGAACAAGTTGATCTTGTTGTGGACTCCTCTGCTAGCTGGCCTGTGCGAGCTACTATAAGGCAGATTTTCAGATATGGAAAGATTATTACTCCTGATCTTGTTAAGTAAGCTATGGCTACCGTAGGGATCTTTGGAAATACCCTTAGACCTGAGGAAAGTCCCAAGGGAAGGACACGGTATTGGTAGTGATGATCTTTTAGGGCGAATCTGAGCAATTTCCTCTGTGACAGGCAAACTGTAATGTGGATGTAAGCATCTTGTAGGTCAAGGGATGATATCCAGTTTCCGTTTTCCAAAGACATTTTAGCGTTGCCAGCGTTATGGTGTTTCTTTAGGTATTTGTTCAGTCTGTGAGGGTTCAAGATGGGTCTCTAACCTCATGGTTTTGTTGGAGTCAAAAGGTAACAGGAATAAACCCCTTCTCCCTTTGTGGGGAAGGGGGTTGAGTTGGAGGGAAGAGAGAAAAGGGATAGTATAACCCTTGGAGATGATCTCCAAAGCCCATCTGTCTGAAGTCATATGGGACTAGACCTGATGGAAAGGGTGGAGCCTGTATTGGTGTTGGCTCCTGGTAGCAGTTGATGTCAAACTCTTGGCCAATTCCTCCCAATGTCTGTCTAGAGTTTGCAGGCTGGGACAAAGTAGACTGGTCCAGAGGCTGTCTCCTCTTTTGCTGTCACTGATGCCGCTTTAAGTCATACCCTCTCTTTTGGGAGGTGTATGAGGGCCATCTAGTGTGAGGAGTGTAGAGGCGGTTCTGCTGCTTCTTAGGCTGAGGGACATACATGCCTAAGCTCTTCAGTGTAGCCCTAGACTCTTTAAGTGTATGTAGAGTTGCATCCATGAATGTAGAAAATGGTTTTTGACCTTCAAAGGGAAGATCCTTAACTGTAATTTGCATGTCCCTAGGAAATACTGAGAGGTGAAACCAGGCCCTGTGCATGATGATGGATGTCACCAAGGAATGGGATGTCGTGTCCACCAAATCTATAGAGACCTGCAGCGCCGTCTCAGCAATAAGTGACCCTTCTTCCAGATTGGACTTAGATGGGGCCTTGTGTTCCTCTGGGAGGTGTTCGATAAAAAAATTCATTTTGTCAAAGAGGTTGTAAGTGTACTTTGATAGGAGGGCCGAATAATTAGCAAGCCTAAATTGCAGGGATGTGGATGAATAGGCCTTGTGTACCAAAATATCAAGCCTCTTCCAGTCTTTGTTAAGTGGTGTTGACTTGAAGTGGGTGTGTTTGCCCCTGGTGTGAACTACTTCGACCACAAGGGAGTTGACAGGTAGGTGGGTTAATAGGAACTCTGCCCCTTAGAAGGCACATAATACTTCACGTCAGCCCTTTTGGATGTTGGTGAGATGGAGGCTGGAGTCTGCCAAATGATTTTTGCTGGGTCCAGGATGGCATTTTCTGTTCCCCCTTGCAGCCAAGAGGTACAGACAGGGATGACCCCACAACTGCAAAAGGCCTGAGTAACCTCCAATTTGACAGACCACTAGTGCATTTGAAACTAGTGGCTGAGGTTGTCCGCCAGTGAGTTCTGAGACCCTGGCAGGTACAAGGCCAAGAGGTGCATCTTGTTGCGCACATTCAACTCCCACAGCGACACTACCTCCTTGCACGAGGGAATAGAGTGAACACCACCCTGTCTGTTGATACAAAACATCACTGTGGCATTGTCCATGCGAACCAAGAAACACCTCCCCCTTACTTTGTTCAAAAAAGGGCAGACAGGCCAATCGGACAGATCTGAGTTCCTTTACATTGATGTTCATCGAACATTCTGTTCAAGACCAGACATCAGAGCCCCATAGCACACATGGAGAGGGTCCAGCCACCAACGAAGAGCCTCTATCACCAACAGCAGTACAGTTATCACTCTGTCCAGGTGGCAAGATGGCCTATCTCATCTGTAAGGGGTGGAGACAGAGTCTGGCAAAGGGGACGACACGAGTGCTAGAAGCCATGTGCCCCAACAGCTGAAGGCAAGTCCTGGACATCATGACCGGGTGCATTCCCAGACCCCAAAATCAGTCTGCATATGATCTCAAAACGGGGCTGGCAGACGGACTCCCTGGCAGCCAGGGCATCCAAATGTGTCCTTACAAACTATGACTTGTGTGGATGACATGGTCAACTTTTGAAGGTTCAGCAATAAACCCAACCAGCTGAACGTAGCCATGATATGCTCCACGTGAGCCCTGACCACCACTTTGGAGGGTCCCTTAACCAACCAGTCAGCTAGGTAAGGGAAGACCTGAACCCCTCAGAAATGCTGCCACTGCCATGCACTTTGTAAAAACCCTTGGCACAGCAGAGAAGCCAAAAGGCAACACCTAGAACTGAACATGGGAACCTCCTGCCATGAAACAAAGGAACCTTCAATGAACCAGAAAGTATGCATCCACATGAAAGTATGCATCCTTCAGACTGAGAACAGTATACTACTCCCCCAGATGCAATGAAGGGATAACAGAAACCAAGGATGCCCTATGGAATTTTAACTTCTTGAAGTATCTGTTTAGATCGTGTAGATCCAAAATGAGACGCAGCTCACCCTTCACTTTCGGGGTAAGGAAATAACGGGAATAAAACCCCGTGCCCTTTAACTATAGAAGGACCTCCTCTATTGCTCCTACCTCGAGGAGCATCTCCACCTCCTGATGCAGGAGCTGCCTGAAAAGGGATGGGGCAGGGAAATAGGAAGCTGAGGTAAATAGAAACTGAATGGCCTATCCCCACCTTTATAATGGGAAGAGATCTCAATTTAAACCAGAAATGACTAAAATACATCTGAAGCTAGTATTGCGTCATACATGATATGAACTGCATCATGTTATTCCTAGAAGTCATGGATGTTTTGCTGCATAATGACAATGTTTTCCCATCAATTCCAGTTGGTCATGCAGTCCATATGAAGGAAACCTATGACAACATGAAACAACTTTTGAGGTGCATAAACTATGACCAACATCAGTGGCAGTTTTGTGGCGATTTGAAGGTTGTTGCTCTCTTGCTTGGTCTGCAGACTGGATACACAAAGTACTGCTGTTTTCTCTGCAAATGGGATAGTCGTGCAAGAGATTCCCACTACATCAAGATAGATTGGCCACTCCGACAGTCATTGGAGCCTGGGAGGAAAAGTGTTCAGCATCCACCACTTGTTGAATTAAGGAAGATTTTGTTACCACCCTTACACATCAAGCTGCGTCTGATGAAGAACTTTGTCAAGGCCATGGACAAAACACAAGCAGCTTTCAAGTACCTCCGTGGAAAATTTCCAAGGTTAAGTGAAGCTAAGATAAAGGAAGGTGTCTCTGTTGGTCCTCAGATTCGTGAACTTCTTCGAGATGATGTATTTGACTATGCACTGTGTGGCAAGGAAAAGACGGCATGGAAAGCCTTCCAGTTAGTGGCAATACATTTTCTTGGAAACAACAAGGCAGACAACTACAGGCTG